ATTATTTTCTGAGCGTTCAATATTTGTGTCCTTGGTCAAAGTGTTAAGTCACAGCTGCCACTTGTAAAGGTTGAGAGAAAGAAGCTTTCAAGAGGATTTTACATGTCGATATATTTAATGTATTTGTGCACAAGTATTCAGCTGTATTTCTAGATAATAAATGGCATAAAATTCATATTTGAAATCCAAATAGTACACTTATGTATTTTTTCATCATTTAATTTATTCAGAAATGTATTGCTATTATTTCTATTTCTTCATATCCTATTTATCATTTTAAGGTATGTAATGGTTTTTTAGTAGCATATTCTCGGGCATTACTAATTATTCCCAAAACGAAACATCTCAGTATTATAATATCTGGTTATACAAAATGTCTTCATATCCTTAAGCTTCATCTGGAATTTTCTGCTTCGTTGTGTCAGACAATAATGTGTTCACTTTTGTTTAGCATTGCGTTTACTTATTTTTTCTAAAGAGTCTGTCAGCTTATTGCTGTAAAATGTTCATTAGTTCACACATGCTTTTTCCCCTTTTGCTTCTCCAACTCTCTTTTCATTACGGGAAATGGAAAAGATTCCAATAATATCGTGTTAGACTTTAAGAGGTTATTAGTAATTTTACTGATTTATTGAGGTTTGAATACACTTATTCAAAAGTAAAGTAATCTCACTTTGATGTCTTTTTGTGGCTTTTTGTACATAAAATTTAAAATGTTTAAGTATTGCATTAATAATTTTACAGAACTATTGATAAAAGCAGCAAAACCCGTCTAAACGTACAAGTTAAGGCTGTATTGTTAGCTCTCTTTAGAGAAAGCACGTCTCTTCCGAGTGTGGGAACATTCAAAATCAGATATGATATAATAATCAGAGGATGCACGCGGTTGAAAGTCATAAGTGACCCACTCTTCTGCCACCTTGAACCTGACAGGTGACTCTACTTTGGGCTTTACTGCCGCTGTGTAGGCAGCGTTTCCCAAAGGCCAAATGCTTTCCTCCCTCTGTGTGGGTCCAGCCCCATCCCGTACGCTCACTGGGGCTGAACACTTGTGACTTTTCATCACACGCGTCTGGGCCTGTCCGCTGAACACAGGGAAGCAGCGTCACATTTAGGGTGAAGACCACTGGCTGGGATGTTATTCTAAGTGTGCCTGTGCGGGCGTTATCCGTCATGTCGGAGGGTCGGGGCGTCCGTCCGGCTCAGATGCTCAGCAGAGGTCAGAGTACCGGGGACCAGTGCTGAGTTTAGGGTCAGGGGTACGACTCGGACCGTCACTGGCTGACTTTTGAAAAGGTTTGTGCTTTCCAACGTGTGTGTTTTCCATGAGGGCCCGGTGCAGGATCTGCTAGTGTTCCGGGGATCTGTTTGGAGTCTGTGGAGCTATGCTGTGTGTGTTGGGTATTTAAGGGGAAGTGAGTCTGCGGCTGACTTCCATTAAATCCTTCCTCTAATTTGTTACTTCCTCCGATTGGGCTCCGCGGGGCTGATGGTGTCCGTGTGGCGATGTTGTTATGTCTGAGGAGCTGCGTGTGATCTGTGGGAATGCCGTGCAGTGTTAGACAGAGCAGCTGCTCTGTCAAAAAGAAGAAAAAAAAGACGACGAGGCGTGCTTTGTTTAGGTTTACCAAGAAGCTTCACAGAGAACTTTCCAACTGTAAAACCTAGAAGGAAAAAGGTAGTATGGCTCATAGATAGAGAGAGGTGTTTGTGAGGACTTTTGTTGCATGTAAGAACTATTTTGTGCTGTTTCTGGATGAGGGGCCCACGCTTTTTGAGCACCCGGAATTGATTTAGTAGGAACATTTTTTCCCGTCAGCTGTTTTTTTGCACTGTAATCCAACTTTATTCTGATATTGGTTGGTTCTGTGATGAAATCACCCATTTTTGTTGTTTTGCTATTCAGACTGAATATAATTCATGGTATTTCAGTTATACTTGGAGCAGAAATTCTCCATTAAATGTTTTCAATTAAAGTCCAACAAAGAAAATGTCCTAAGCTTTCCTACATTCTCAGTAAGAAATTTGGTTTCTGGAATTCTGTTTATTTGGGATTTTTTAGTTGATCAGTAAACCTGAGTTTGTGAGCAAACATTCATATTGTGCTACAGTTTGCCAGTTAGACTTCCCTGTGTTGTTTCAGTGGGCTCTTGTGAAACATTTTGAGAAGACAAAATGTCATTTAAAAGCAACAGAATTAACGTTGTTGGGATAGTGTGATTACATTTAAATGAGACTTTGAAAAGAGGATTTTTCACTTCAGTGTTAAAGTTATGCGCTCTGGATTTAAATCAGAAGAAAAATCAGGAAAATGGATTTTCTTCTAGAAACAAAGACAGCCTCGACCTTGTTTTAAATGTTTTAAAATACACCATGGTTGGATTTAGAAATCCTGCCATTCAGATTTTAACAGAATCATTTATTCAATGTAACACATCTATCTATCTTCTATAATAACAAACCAAATGGTCAGATTTGTGCATATGATCGGTTTTTAAAGACCACATTGGGATGTTAAAGCGGAGCTTGAATGTTCTGCAAATGTACTCTTGTTTGACATGACTCACATGTTAAGTCTTTGTCATTACATTAATGAGGAATGCATTAATAGAAACAGGTGCATGTCCACCAGATTAACTTTAATTATTTTTTAGATACGGTTCACTTCAAGAAATGTTGATTAGAGTTTTACAACTTTTAAACTGCAGCGCAGATGTGTTTCAGCAGCTCCCTGCACAGCTCTTTTTACCAGTGCCTCTGGAATTGGTCATGATACAACATTTTATGCAGTCCGTGGTTTATATGAAAAAAGCTGAAGACATTCAGTTGCTAGTGAGGATATTGGGATCTTTAAAAATGGAGAAAAATCGTGGCATTAATCACACTCTGCTCTGCTAGATTTGAACATGTTAAGAAAGACCAAATTATGGTGAGATATTTTCTGGTTGTTTTTGGAAAACCTTCCTAATCACAAATGATACTTCTCTTGACAATTTTCATGAAATGTTTCAAATGTTTCCCAACATTTGTTGCTAAATTATATAAAAAGTGTGACTTTTAAAAAGTACCTCCAGAACATCTTTACAATCCATCTCTCTCCTAAAATACAGAGACTTTCACTTAGTCCTCTTTTTTAATGAATTTTTCAGCTTGGTCGTAAAGGTAATTTATTCTTTTTTTTTAATGTATTGCTACCTCTAATTGTTTTGTTTTTTACCTGCAATCTAGCAAATATCATGACATCACAGTTTTGGAGTGAATGTGTAATATGAGAAAGCATTTCTAACCTGGCTGCCATATCACCACATCTTGTTTAACTCTCTTTTAAACTTCCCATCCACACCTGGTTAAAGCTTATTTGACACGTAGGTCCCCAATCGTCATCATGAGATCAGTCTGAAGTGTCTGCTAGTCTGTGCCAGCTGCCCAAGAGTCCATATTAGTCGATTAAGGACACTGTGTATCATGGTGGCAAAGGGTGACTCCTGTATTTATAGCTTTGAGTCATAAGCTGGAATGGTGTAAGCGTATCGCTCCATCAGCATGCTTGTTCACTTATGAGGGAGAGCAAATAAGTGGTGAAACTCTGGGCTGTGAAACATACACTATCAACATATCATGTTTGACATTTTTGGCCCATATTTCTTTTACATAAAAAAGGCCAAAAAAAAATTATTTTTAACTTTTTTCTTTTTGACCTCTTTAAATGAATCGGAATATAAGTTAAATTGATGTTAGAATGTCTTCACTGCTCTTTTATTCTGGAGTAATTAGCTGAAAATGTACAACTTCAATTATAAAAACTGAACATAAATTCTTTTATTGCTACATTTTCTTGACCCTCTTGATCCAGTTCAGGCTCCCACATTGACTGTGGCCGATACAAACCATCCATGGTGGACGGGTCCCCAGGCCCCAAACTAATAAAGTCTCAATTAAGTTGTAAAAGCTAAACTTCTGTGATCTAACAGTTCAAAAGAATTTGACAAGGTTTCTCCATTAAAGTTGAGATTTTAGGTAGGCTATATAGGTCCATAGCTAGATATAACAAAAAAAAACTAAAACCTAAAAAACTCTAATTCAAATTCCCCACTGAGCTTTTTCTTATTGCAGCATGACCACAAACCCGTCTGCTATTGACTCTTTACAGAATAATGTCTTCGTTTTAAAAAGACTGAAGAGCATTCGGAAATGCGATGTGTGATTATCGGCATGAGCGAGAAGCTTTGACTCAAACTAACTGTACACACTGAGATTCGGGGCACTGGCTAGACAGGGCAGTGTCAGGTGCTTAACATTCTCGATGTGATGTGTAGCTGAGGAGTCTAAGTTTAGACAGCATGTGAGAGCATTTGTCAGAAACTAAAGAGGCAGAGCAATTTCACAGGGTCACAGCAGCTAAGGACGGCATACAGCGGTTTCAGGTAGTTTAATTACCCCCCAGAGTTTAGACGTTAACGAAACTGCGACCATAAACGGGAAGTGATGATTTGACATTCATTGATTAACATATTTACTTGAAAATAGTTCAATATTCAGACGTGAAACAAAAGTCACAGTTACCTCAGAACAGGCTAATATTGGTGTAGTGATGTAAATGATAATTAAATGGGTATTCAGCATATCATTCATGGTATTGGCCTTATTCTTTGTTTTTATTATTGAAAAAGAGAGCTGTCTTCTTTAGCCTTTCATGTAGCATCCAGCTAGTAGCTAGTAGTTAACACTAATTATTTCATTAACAGGAAAGCATGTCGTTCTTAGCATCCTATTAGTTTTCATGCATTTGCTGGTTGTTGATGGCAAACAGTTGCAGCACAGGCGAGTTTATCTATATCACACTAGTTTAACTGAGGAGCAAAACAGAGGCATGAAATGAATTCTAACATATTTTCCCCTCTCTAAAGAGTCTTTATTTCAGCAGGTGCTTCTCTCGTTAAAAATTCAGCATTGACTTTTCAGATGTTGGTTGATGTCTAACAAAACTAATTTATTTGCTCATGTGCGGTTTCTTTTTTTTCTTCTTCTTCTTCTGCAGCATCAGTCTAGCATCATTGGACGGTCCTGAGAAGAAGGGCCTTCCGGTGGGCGTCCAGCTGCCGGGCGGCGTTCAGACGGGGGTCCTGCAGCAGAACCAGCAGCTCCTGCTGTCTCCGGCGGGCCTCCAGCTCGCTCAGCTCCAGGCCCAGCTCACCCTCCATCGCCTCAAGCTGGCTCAGGGAGGCAACGCGGCCACAGCTGCCAGCGTTCTCAACCAGTTCCTCTCCAATGTCAACATGTCCCAGCCTCTCTTCAATCAGCTACGGAGCTCCTCTCTGGTCGGGAACCCGCAGGGGGCTTTCCCCTCCGGGGTGATAGGGTTTCCGTCTTCCAATTCAGCGTTGGGGGCCTTGGTGGGCGGGGGGTTCAACCAAAGCCTGGGGAATGTAAGACTGAACCCTCCCTGTGGAGTGGGCACAAAGGGTCAACAAGGTGGAGACTTTGGCAAAACGTCCGGGGCGAATTACCCCTCTGACACCGACAGACGTCGTCAGTACAACTTATCCGGCGGGACTTCTGCGGCGCCGGTCAGCGCCGGTGACGGACAGTACGCGTCCGTCAACGCTCACGCAAAAAACATGACCGGCGCCGGTTTTCAGAGAGATTTATACGGCCAAGATATGTCGGGTCAGCAAGCTGGGTTTTGCTCCGGCGAGCAGAAAATTAATGTCTATAACTCCACACCCCACCGGGAGCAATGGAAAGGCCACTCTGCTTTGATCCACGCAGGAAAAGTGGACATGGCTTCTAATAACCCCACCGTGTGGTCGGCAGCTGGACAGCCCATCAGGTCCAGAGGTGAAATGTACAACCCGGAGGAGCCTACATCCGATCCCAAATTAAACTGCAGCGGTGGGGTTTCCTCTCTCGGTTCAAGCAGCATGCAGGGCTTTGGGGGCTACCAGGCCCTGCGCGGAAGTGAGGAAACCACATCTTCGGTTACCAGGACCCTTCAGCCCTATCAGGTCAACGATTACTTTGCCGCCACACCCACTCAGCTGCCACACCAGTGCAGCATCTGTGACAAAAAGGTCTATAATCTCAAGGTAAGTGATCGAAACTGCCAAGAGGAGATGGCATTTTTTGATGTCACACACATTATTTACCTGGAAGCATAATGTTTGTGAAACTCAAAGCAGAATGTAGCAGAATGGGGTTTTTTTCTTTAATAAAGCACAAGCTCATATGAATGAAAGAAGAAAATTTGTGCTGGTTTTCTTTGATGAAAACATCTTTATCTAAAATAACTCTTCTGAATATTTTTGGAGCGTTCCATGACTTGGAAACTAATTCAAAGTGTCGGCTCTTTAATTGTCCGAGTCAGGGGTTTACACCAGAGCTGTGTGGGCAGAGGAAAGAAACAGTGAGCGGGCAGTGAGTTGAAGCTGTTGGAAACTGATTGGACGCTGCGTGTCTGTTCTTTTTTAGGACTGGGACCAGCATGTGAAGGGAAAACTGCACCTTCAGAATCGAACTTTGTACGCAAACGATAGGTAAGTTACAGCTTCAGCAACGTTTCTCCACCTTCTCACTTCTAAACGACAACTTGTCTTCACAGATACATTTCCTGTGAACTGTTAGTAGTAAACAATCTATAGTTTGTCGATCAGTTCAGAGGAAAATCTCTCTTGAAAGTCAGGCGCATTTATTTTTCCTCTCCTTTCCCTAAAAACAGCTGTCTTAATCTTCCCGTGTATACAGTATGAGCTCTGTCACAGGATATGAGTGAGCAAGGCAGGGGAGAGGCAGCTAAAATCAGCCTTCTGTGATTGTTGCAGCTCAGGGCTGGTATCAGCTGGAGCGGTTCACTACGCTGTGGGCAGGCCTTCTGATGGCGGTCTGAACCCCGGAGGGGCTACCCCGATAGTCTGCTCCGCCACGGGCCAAGGTAGGACGACCCATTCATCAGAGCTGCCGGCCACGGGTGGATGTTGTTGTTTTTTTTCCTGCTGATGTGAGATGTGTTTTTCTGCATGCAGAAGATTGTAAAACTGACTATTTTAAGCGTCACACGAGAGGGAGTCAACAGGTTTTTTATAGCTTGTAGTCTTTCCATACAGTGAAATCAGTAGTAGCCTGCCTTGGCTGTTACATCAAAACAGGGGGATCAAAACTGAAAGCTTTAGTAAATGTTCATTATGTATGTATTGATACAACATAACATGCCATTTGGGATATCAATCACTGTTGGAGGGATTAGCTTTGAGTCTCAAGTCAAAGTGTCATTTGCACAGCAAAATTCTGACGCAACTGCCAAAAAACAGTTTCAATTCATGCCATCAGCATGCAGCTTTTACAAAGATCCACACGTGATTGTAAGTATAGAAAAACTTCAGTCAACTTAAGCCATTTGCCTTAAAGTGTGACTGAGAACACAGCAACCAAAAATACTCTTTAATAATAATTCAGCCTAATTCTGGTTCTGAATTAGTTTTTTTCTTCAGCGTGAAACCCCAAGCATGATGCAAATCAACGTTAATTTGTCCTTCAGACGCAACATGGACAAATCTGAGTCTGCATTTCACATTATTTCACAGATGTATCATCAGGAAGTAATGCTTCATACATGCCAGCCACAGCAATGAAGACTTTTCCCATGACAGACTCAGGATTCCCCACACATCAGCCAGAATCAAAGGTCAGACTTCTACTCTCCTACACAATCATTGTTGTCTATCTTGGCATTCTAAGTACGTTAATATAACATTCATATGATATAATAAAGAGACATCTGTTACCCTAAAAAAAGGAATCTTTGACTGTGTTCCACGTTTTGCAGAAGTGAATAATTGATGTGTATTATATCCAGAAATATTATCTGTGTTTTTTCTTTCTGCTTATTGTTCATGTGTCTTTTCCATTTAGCTTTAACCATTTTGTTTATGTCGAAACAAGCCAAACTTGTTACAAAATAAATGGAGCCAAAGTTTGACAGCTGCAGAAGTCAATTAGCAGAAATTGATGTAAATACTTAAATCTTAATATTTTTAACAGATTACACAAAACACTTAGTTCATAGTGTGTCATTTGAAATACTTTTTTTCACTTTTTGTAGCTCTACCCAGTTAAATGTACTCCCATGTCTATCCACACTGCTCTGTTCTACAGTGTTACGTCTTTTTTTAAAATAAAAAATGACAATGAGTTTAAAAATAATTGCTGCTGGTAGGCATCCATTATTAAAGCAGGTGTCTTGCAGATGATGGGGGAGATGACAGACACCCAAAATTAGTCTCAGCAGAGCCTCCAGCATCCATCTTTCAGTGGGTCATCTGCAGTCTGTGAACCTCTATGTGCACACTATGTTGGAGCACATATCCAGTAGTAGAGCAAGAGTCTCTATTTTCTTTTTTTCACGCTGCATCTTTGATTTCTCCTGTATTAAACAGAATGATTCACCCAGTGAATCATCTGTATTGTTCTCTGGTTGTTTCAGCTTTTTACACGGGACCTATTTAATTCCAGTGTCCTGTTCAATATGGAATGCTTCACATCTACAAAACATTGAAAAACCCTTTTCCCTACATTTAATTCTGAATTGTTTCATTTTCACTGATTTTTTACCCATTAAATAAATACAATTCTTTTAATGAGAAGTGTCTGAGGACACAAATAACAAAAGGAGTTTTGAATGGAGTGCTGTCACTATTAGATATTCTGTAAATATTTCCATTTATATATATATAGGGGAAAAATCCTAAGGAGGGAATTATTTTTTTCCGTGAAATGTAAAATGGAAACCCTCTTAGACCTTGTGAAAATAAAGCAAGAGATCCTGTTTCAGATACCATTTAGTTTAAATAAGACCCTTGAACGTACAAAGCTCCGCTCCCATGTGCACGGCCTGTTTTAATATCATCCACATGTTCTATGTGTCATTGCCACAAGAATCTATTTAACAGAAGCCCGAACTTTGTTGTAAGGGATTTGTTACACCGGTTGGTTATTGACGAAGGATTTTATGGTATCAGTGGGAGAATATTTACGAGCTGGGCTACATGAGCTAATGTTAGTTGCTATAAACGCGCACCTGTCTATGTGGGACATGTGGAGTTTTACTACTTTGAAAGCTCTGTTTTGAACTGAGAGTTCTTTTACTGTGCATTCACATAAGCACAACCACAGGGTTCGTCACATTTTTGACTTTGTGTATATGCACATGAAAAGGCTTGAAGAATTGGAATATTACCAAACTCATACCAACAATTGCTATATTGTTAATATGATGACAGTGACAGTTACTGTAAGCTGCGTGACTGAAGGAACACACATGTGTCTCGGTACATGCATTTGCTTGGCGTGTTTATTCGACACTGCTGTGCCCAGACTCCGGTCTGAAGTAACACGGTAGCCTCTTGCGACACGACTCAAACGGCGATAAACAGGGGATTAGGAGGAACCGCTGCGGGGTCCACAGACCTAAAGACCCGGGGTCACACCCCGCAGACGGCCGTGTCACGTTTCAGACAAGTGAGAGATCGGTAAAGTGATATGAGGGGGGGGACGTGTGAGCAGTCTGTGTAGGAACGTGGGGGCGAAACTGTGAAAGCAAACTGACCATCTCCCCGAGCCCTCATCCAACAACACACACGCTTTTAGGAGACATTGCTGCTAACGTCTGTGAAAACCACGAAAGCACTTTGGGAAGTGGTTGTCACCGGTTACACTTTTGACCCAAGTGTGTAAAGTTTTAGTGTTAAATGTGTAAAGCTCATGTGAAGCTGGACGGCCTTGTAAAGCCCGGCCTTTAGCGCCTATTGTCTTGTGTGTATTTTTTGTTGATCACGGGAAACTGTGTGTGGAGCAGCTCCCTTATAGCTGGCCACGAAACGGCTACTGTCCAGAACCGGGGCCAACCTTGACTGGGAGCGCGGTGCTGTTTTCGAACAGCGTGGAGCTTCCAAACGCACACAGCGTCTTACAGATCAGCCACCGATTGAGCGCAGTGAGCAATGACCAAGACTCTTGCTCTCTCCTATAGTCCAAGGACATAAACAGCCTATTCCTGGATCTGTTTATCGAGCCCGACCGGCACTGACCTTTACGCTCTCCGGTAGAAGTGGCGCTGGTACGATGCTGTTAATAGATTTATAACTCTTGAATATGAAGTTGTTAATGTCATTTTGCCAGCCAGTTAAGCTGTGACATAGATTCCAGTTATTGCAGTGTGCTCAGATGGCCTTGTGATTGAAGCTATATGAACAATTCTGCTCAACAATATTAATTATCCAGAAGAGTTTGTATTAGAGTATGTCATTAAAGAAATACCTATTTAAGAAGGGGAATTTTAATCATATTTCTGGGAGAAATAAGAACATGATCTTTATTAATGTAGGTGTCAATAGTGTGTCACTTATGTTCCAAATTATTATTTATTCTGTTCCCCAGACTATTACACTATGGGCAGTTAAGTTAACTTCAAATTGCAAAAACGTTGTAATCATATTTATGCATGCTGCATTTGACTAAAGTCTGTTATTGTTAGGTTTTCCCTAAACAAATTCCCTATAAAACTTGAGACTGAGGCTCATGGTGTGAAGTGGAAATAGATCCCCAGTGTGTCCCGCACATGGAACTGTCTGTCAGGTTTGTCAGCCGGAGAAGAGGAGGAGGGGCACGAAGAAAACTGCAGTTATGGCACAATGGCTGCCATAACTGCAGACCTCCTTATGTATTTAAAACTGCTTTCTGTTGTCCACCAACAAGTCTGATTATAAATCATTTGCTGCCCTAAAGTAATTGGATTGAATGGTTGTTTAACCATTTATTGAGAGTTTCAACTCAGAAGAAAATATTTTTTTTTTCTTAATCTACTTTTACTTGCTTTCTCTTGTCGATGTTCTGCTTTTCACAAGGAAAAATGCAGCTATGAAATATTTATAGATAGCGTACAGATGGAAAATGTGAAGTTCTGATATTTTTTTTTAAATGAAGCATAAAATCTGAAAGAATAAGACACCAAGCACCTCAGTGAGCCACTCTTCAGTTAGATTAAAAAAAAAAAAAAGGGGGTGGACACATGCTGGTCACTGTACTTGGCAGTCTGGAGAGACTTGGATTAAATGTGTGAAATGTCTGGAGCTCGTCAGCTGACAAGTCTCTAAATCCAAACAAGAAAACTTTCATTATCACTACTCTACTCCTGGCAAGGTGCTATTGATAGATGACCTCCGGTGAGATAATGTTGCAAAGAGTTAGCACATCTAAGTCAAGCTCGCGCTGCGTGAGCTGCACAGACTGAAGCGTCATGCTGAGACCAAAGGTGTTTTCAGTCTGTTTGGGTCCAGCTGCACTAAGCTAAGCTTCCCATGTTTACAACAACAAAGGAGAATTGAAGAAAAGACCAATAAAAAGATAATTCCCTTCATACATGATACCCGATTCCCGTCTTTTTTAATCTTAGCAATAGAAATGGGCCTCTGGGACACTTTTCACAAGATTTTAACACAACCTCTGAATGGTGTCAATTGGACTGTAAACAGCAAAGTTATTTGGATTTTTGCCGGGTGAAAGTCTGTTGCTAAGCCTGTTGATAAATTGTTGACATTTTATTGGCTCTCTGTAACTAGAAACTTTTTTTGTCATTATGTGAATGTAAATTGCTTATTTGAAGGCATTTTTGCTGCTGTTGCTTAATATATTTATTTATATATTTATTTGTTTATGATTGATTTATTCATATGTTTGTTTGTTTGTTTGTTTGTTTGTTTGTTTGCTTGTATCTAGCAATTTCCACCTAGAAAGGCATCTGTGGGCCGAGTCGTTCACATCTGCAACCTGCCTGAGGGCACCTGCACAGAGAATGATGTCATCAACCTGGGAATACCTTTTGGCAAAGTCACAAACTACATCCTAATGCGGTCAACACATCAGGTACGATGAGTTCACCTCATTCATCTGATTGTTCGATGATAATCGCGCATTCTTGTTTGATTTCTTGCACTTTTTTCCCCTGCAGATGTTAATATATTTTACTTTGTCATAACACGCCAACCACCAGTGCATGACAGCTCAATTATGTACCACAGTTATATTTAACAGTTTGACTACTTGAACATAACATATCAGATTCAAAGCATTCATACTAAAATGGCTGCACTGGTTGGGGGCGACTAAAACAAATGTTCTGGTGATTTACTGTGGTAATTAAAAGTGATACCTTGGATGATGGTTCCAAGGGATCCTCTTGCATCCCTTCTGACATTTACAATGTGAGTTATGTTTGAGCAAATCAGCCCCGAACGACAGAAGCTCTCAGAGTAGGATCATTGTTAATGGAGACTTTCTCTTGACTCCTCAGGCTTTTATAGAGATGGCGTATGTCGAGGCAGCTCAGGCCATGGTTCAGTATTACCAACTGACCCCAGCTATGATAAACAACCAGAAACTTCTCATACGAATGTCAAAGAGGTACAAGGAGCTGCAGCTGAAGGTAAAACAGAGGAATGCGGTGAAACATGGTCTAAACACATGTTTGACACGTCCTAAACTTGAGTTTCTTTTCTGTGTAGAAACCAGGCAAAGATGTTCAATCAATCATCCAGGATCTTACATGTCAGCGAGAAAGGGAAGATATGCAAGAAGTGGAACAGTAAGGCAACCCGTCCCGGCCTTTCTGACACTGTTTTTTTTGCCCAACTTGGGTTCTCGATGATGTGACCCACCTTGTCCTCTTCCTCCAGCTACATGCCGGAGAGGGCGCGCTCCCGCAGCCCCATCAGTCGCTCTCTGAGTCCCCATTCCCACAGCCCAAGCTTCACCTCGTGCAGCTCTGCCCACAGCCCCCCGGGAGGCCCGGGCAGGGCTCCGGAGAGGGGCAGCAATGGCCTCGGCCCCCAGCGGGGCTCCTGGGACTGGCCGTCGCACGCGAGGCGGGGCGAGGAGGAAAGGGAGCGGGACGGTCCTTGGAGGAACGGAGGCAGCGTGGACGATGACCGGCCCAACGGACGGGCGGCTGACCGCCGGAAGAACTACCAGAAACACCTGGATCATGAGCGGGGAGCGGGAGACTCGAAGAGGGGCAGCAGAGACTGGCACCCGCGCGGCAGCCCCAAAGGCTCCTCCTTCCACTCTTACAGGAACACGGACGATAATTTCTTCTCACAGCACGTGTACAAGTCCGACAAGCTGCTCAGGCCCTCGTACCAGCGCCACGACACAAAGTCGAAGAGGAGGGACGGCAGCGACTACCACGCTCGCTCGAGGCACTCCGAGTTCGAGATGAACGAGGAACAGTCGGGCAGAACATCGGAGGACAAGAGACAGGGTTCACCTGGCAGGAGCAGAAGCAGGAGGACAAGCCGAAGGCACGCCACTCCAGAGAGACACGAGAGAGAAAGTGCTTCTGAAAACACCGTGAGTGACTTTGAAATTCATGGCCGCATAACTGCTTTACGCTCAACACATGTTTTATGGCAGGTGTCAAATTTGTTTTCCAGAACTCCCAGTCAAAAGATAAATCTGTTTCACCTCAACGAAGTAGCAAGCTGAAAGAAGCTGCAGGATGTAATAAAGACCGAAATGCTGTAAGTTTGCACATTGGAACTGATAGTCAGATTAGATTCAGTGAATCTGGGGTACGGATGAGACACTCAAGGGGTTAAAGTTCTTCAGGCCAACAGTTGAACTGTAAACATGTCCGTAAATAAATGCTTGTTTGATTATGTGAGCCAGTAGTGGTCATAATTGAATATTTTCTAACTCCTTTCCTTAGGAAAAAGAGTCAGAGAGTGGAAACGACACAGACGAAGAGTGCTGGTATCCTAAAAACATGGAGGAACTGGTCACTGTTGATGAAGTGGGAGGAGAAGATGATTCGATTATTGAGCCAGACCTCCCTGAGCTAGAAGAGTTTCCATCCTGCCAAAAAGAGTCTGAAGTAGAAAAGACTATAGAGGAGCACTTATCACCACCCACATCATGCCTTGAGCAGGAGGAGACGTCTAGTGAGAAAACTGAGCAGAATCCTGGCTTGGACACAGATGTGCAGGTGGTAACATCTGTACCAGAGAAAGCAGAGGATGTAGCAACAGCACCCAGTCCTGAAGACCACAAAACCAACCCAGCAATGCCTGAGCTACTGGTCACCAACCTAATGGACTTCCCCACAGAGGAGTTTAAGGCTGCTCTGGAGGAGACATTCTTAGAGGACAGTAAAGTGTCTGACAGTGAGCCACCAGAAGAGCCAATGGAAAATCCGATTTGTGTAACAGAGGACAGTAAAACCAAAGAAGAAGAACAGGGCAATGAAAGTACAACAGAAGTGCAACAGAAGGATGGCTACCTAAAAAATGGTACTTTTGTTGGAGGGATTAATGCTTTCAGATCAAACCATAAAAAAGAACATAGTCAAATCTGCTGTATCGGTTAAACAGGATAATTTCTGTGCGTTAGGTTTAGTTTAAGAATAGGTTTTGAACATCTTTAATTTTATTTAGAAAAAAGTTTTTACCTTCTTTTAAATCTTGTTTCCTGTTCTTGTGTCTGACTCTCGCCTCAGTAAGTTCTTATTGGAACGGTTAGCAAGTTTTTATTTTTTTCTGCATGTAAAATAGAGAGATTTTTTTTTTTTTTTTACATTGTAAATTGCTTTTTTTATTTGCTTAAAAAATTGTAATTCAGCCTTAGTGGAGTTTAGTGCTTCACATCTTTTGCATTATCATTATTTCTTATAGAGATCGAGGCTCCTTCACCAACTCCAGAGCAAGAAAAAGTTGTCAGTGAACACAGCATCCCTTTGGGTAAGTGAAGCCCATTTTAACAATGCCTCAGTTTTGAGGGGCTGGATATAATTCAGTTACAGTATATGGTTCTGATTGATGAGCATCTCAAATGAAAAAAGTCATGGCTCAGACCTTTTCTGAATCTCAGGAATCTCAGTATAAGATATCTCTAAAACAGTTTCCTCATAACAAAATATGTTCTGAGTATATGTGTATTGCTTCATATTCATTACATTTAACAGGTTGTTGATAAAGTACTTCACTTAAGTTATTCTGTGTCCACGCAGTCAATAAGGCCTTCAGAACACCGTATTATTTTAATGGACATTGCTGCAGACGGAATCCCTCCTGATGCAGAGGTTCCATAATGTATTGTCTTGAAAACCATCATTAGCCACACAGACGACCTGCTGCGTTAGCAGTCTGATTGACTGGAATGTCCGGGTCACTTGCAAACCTATTTGCGTGAGCAGGTTTTGAAATGCACCCCGGGGAGATGCTTATCATCGAGGGGGTTAGATGACAGCCGAGCACATGGCCGGTGTTGGCTCTGCAGCGTGGACACTTATGTGAGCCGCACTGCAGCGTGACAACAAAGGAACAGCACACGCGCTGGGAAACGGCCAGCAGATGTGTTGTGTTACTGTCCATACATACGCTGTGTTCAGCACTTAATTCCCTGTTTCGCCGATGAGCAAACTGGGGAAACATGCGGTTCAGATGTCGCCCAAGGACACGTGGAGGGGCTCGGGGTAAAACCTCTTCTGACTGAGTCACCGCTGGCCCTGCTATATGTGGACCTGAAGTAGTGACAGTGATGGATGGGAGTTTTTATAAACCTTAGCTGTGTAAAAAAAAAAAAACAGAAAAAGAGGCCATATCATGCACACAATAATGTGCTCACTCTCTCCAGGATTTTGACACATCTTTAAAAACTTTTCCCTTTTTAGACACTTAAGTTATAGTTTGTTACCAGATTTGAATTATAAAACAGTAAAACATTAACAGAGACAAGGGGAAAAGTAAAAAGCTCTGCTTGATTTACTGCCGGGATTTGCTGTTCATGGTTGTGGGGGTGGCATGCTCTGATCAGAGCAGTGAAATCCAGAAGGTTACCTCGTGTGGGGAGCCTGAACGCCTCGTCATAGCTGATTCAGGTTTGGCACTGCCTGTGGTCCCGTGCCAAATCTCATTCCCACCGCTCTCAGTGCCCACCTTTCTGTCTCTCTACTTATTGATTTAATCCCACAGCTACCTTTGAAAAAAAAAACAACAACTGTTTTCGCTGTCCAATAGGAGTGGAGTTTATTGTACCAAGGACAGGCTATTACTGTAAACTCTGTGGACTTTTCTACACCTGTGAGGACACCGCCAAGACCGCCCACTGCCGTAGCACTGTCCACTACAGGAACCTGCAGGTATACCACACACCACTCTCTTTGGACCTATTTCATAATTCTTTGTATTTTAGGAAATGCACCTGTATGTGTATATATATATAAATGTGTGTGTATTTTACCTATCTTATCATTTTTCTCTTCCCATAAATATGCATGCTTTATGCTATTTTGTGGACATAACCAGCCATTTAATTATTTTCATCTCTTTTTTAGACTTAAACTCAAGTTCAAGTTCACAATTTCTGAAGTAAATAGATTTAAAAAGTAAAAACTCTTCCTAGCATCTGATATCTGATGCATAGATGAACAAAATCAACATACAAGCTATAGTGCATACCATCCCCTTATCTCACACACACACACGTTCACACAAACTGTCAAACTTTAACTGTATTGGGTTCCCCGCCTTTGGCCAGTCAGCATCGAGCCATCTTGCATTTCTTTGGCTCTCAGCAGCACAGCTGAAGCAAACAGGAGATGTGTGATTAGTTCACATTCAGCGGATTACATTCCAGGAGGAGAAAAAAATCTGTTTTAAACACATGCGCTATCCATCAGACTTTTGTGTGCCCTGTTCTTAAAGGGTTGGTTTTAGATCAGATCTCATCGCTTTTGATGAATGTTGCGTTTCGATCACCTGCAATGCAGAGGTAGCTAGTATGCACAAGTGTTCTGTACAGTACTGATGATTTTAGTCCATTTCTCATATTGTATGCAGAAATGGGATAAATCTTTAAGCAATGTGACTCCTCTGCTTAATAATATCTGTATAATTATTTACAAATGACCCTGAAAATTACACATATGATAATGGTAATACTCTTTAATTTACTTGGTGGTTAAAAAGAGTGGGCTTATGGTTGTTAACATCCACCGTTGATGAACTACTGTTTAACTGCCCCCAAAGTTCCCAAGAAACGCCACTCTGAGAGTTAATAGCTTCAACACGGAAGACACGACCCGGTCTTTATATCCCTGTCTGCACTGATTGCTCTGCCCTGGTGTTTGACCGGTGATTCCACTGCTCTTCATCAACTGAAATGTATGATTTAGACAAAACGGGGTGCTTCATTGTCAAATTAAAATTTAATATATTTTTATGTATATATATAAATATATATATATATATATATATCCTAAGATCCTAAGAGAAGCCTGTGTTAAAAACACATTTTATCTTTTCTAAGACAAGACAAATTCTAGAGTAGTCTCATTAGGCCTCAAAAAGCTACATTTTAGGACTGGATAGTGGTGTACATTATGTATGGTATGAATTAGGTCATGCCAGAGTAGCTCTGCTCTCTTGTTTTGGACTTTCTTTGTAGTTAATTATTAATCTCTGTGGAACTGGCCACAGAGATGCATTGTAGAGTTGTGTACCTTAGCTGCGGAGGTCTTAGTTTTCTCGCTCTTTTGACAGCCCTTTGAGAGATTACTCTGTAATGATTCTCCACCGATTCTCTCTTAAAAAACCAAAGCTGGCAAAGTGCTCATATCTGAAGTAGGTGTGTGGGTTTGAAATGCTGACAGAGGTTAAGTACAGTAAACAGCGCACAAGTGTCGATGGTTCTCTTAAGCCCCCCTTCAGAGGTCGAGCACTTTGACGCCACGCAAAGTCTGCATGTTATTGATGTATTTTCAAATATACGCTGGATTATAAATGCAACCTCTTTTCTTCACAGAAATATCTGTCCCAGTTGGCGGAGGAAAGCCTGTTGGGTGCACTTGCTGACCCCTCCGCTGCACACTGACAGTGGATTAACCATTCGCCTCCAGCAACAGCAAGGAAAGATTTGCATTTGTGCAAAGCCATGAACAACTACAACATGAACGACATGGCTCACAGAAGCTTAAATCTACATGTAGACTTTGTTAGTTCTGTACATCACTGAAGTGAAGTGTATAGTGGGGTTGAAATATTTATCTGCATCATTTCATTGAATTTATTTTATTTTCAAGTACAGTTTCATTGCTGGTGTGTGTGTGTTTATTTGTTTTTTTTTTCAAGTGCTTTTACATTTATGTTGATTTCCTGTGCGGGTAACTTTCAAAGTAGAGTTTATATTGTTGTGTTTCATTTAATATAATGTGTATACCTTGTCCAAACAACTCTGAAACACTTACAGCTGCAAAATGATCTGAATGTGTTGCGTGAATAGTCACAATAAAAGACATGCAGGCCAGAAAGCCAAATGAAAAGAGGCCAATTTTAGAGCCTGTTAATGTTAAATCATGTCTGTTCGCAAAACTGTGCTAATGTTGCCAACTTGTTGACTTTTTTTTGTTGGCATTTACCTGCTTATGTTTTAATGCAGCCAAAATTCTCAGGAGCACAATAGTATTTTTTACTCGGTTGGAAAAAACTGAGGCAGATTCTCAGGTTTGTTGTTGAAAACATTTCACTGTGTTAATTGAAACATATTTATATCTATGGATGTCAGGCTCCAACTTCTTTTTGTCATGCCATCTGTGAGAAGGCTTCACAATATGTCATATGAAACCATAAATTATTGTTAAATAATGAAGAAACTATGCAAAATGTGTTTTTCCATACTTTTTTGTTCAAATTAATTCAGAAGATATTAAGAGCCATATGTGACACCATATGTCTTTCAAGACCTTAAACTGGACCACATGTTTATCATTTAAACATGATGTTTCTTGTTACAGTGACCTGTTAACAGAAACCAGACTGTTTTGATATACTGTGAATATTTATCTTAGAAAATCAGTGTTGTCATGATTAAAGTTTTCATATGAATTTCTGATGTAAAAAAGCTTAAATAAACATTACATTTGTCTCAATGACACCTCTTGTCTGAACTGAAATTCACCCCCAACTGTTATGTAAAATATATAATATGTAAAATATCGATGTTTTTGAAGAGAGAGAGAGGGAGATAGAAAGATTGAGAGAGATCTTTGTGTGTGAATTTTTATATTAAATCTTTATGAAATATGGGATTTTAGATTTTAAACAGTTCAGTGAGAGATGTTACAAGTTTGCATCATCGCAAATATTGTTGGTATTTTTCTTACTTATGCTGATATCTGTAGTTCCAAATGGATAGTTAAGACATGAAAATGTTATGTTGATAAAAAAATTACTGTCTTCTCCTATTAAAACGTTTAGTTATGCTTACATTTTCAGTCTGCATATTAACACTTAAGATATATTTGTTTTGCAGGGTCTACATAATTTTAAATAAGTAAAGAAATATATATTTTTAATCATGATTTTATCATTTCATCCAAGAATGAATTGAGCAGATCTTCAATACCATAGTTAACTGATAGGGGGCAGCACTTAACAACACAAGCAGATCTCAGAATTTGCGAGAATAAAATTCCGTGTTGCATTTTCATTGGTTATCTGTTTAAAACCCACGTTCTGTTGGCCAATCAAATAGGAAAAACACTCACAACGTCATCACGTTGCTAGGTAGGTAAATCGAAAACAACGCCGTTTGTGTCATTAGTTTGAAGCTTGGGTACGAGAAACGGTCAGTGGCTCTGCTTTGAGTATTTTTTAGACTACCAGGATAGGGGCAATTGAGTTTAACCCTTAATACTTATTTGCTGTTAGGTAGTTGATAATTTGGTCGGTTAAAGTTAAAGATAATACCTTTTCCACTGGCCGTTTGAGGAAATATTTTCCTAACGTTTGTGTTTCTAGAAGATACGTTACTAAAATACTTACTTAAAATGTGGAAGATGCATTTTGTTAATGATATTTGGTACAATATTCGTGTGTGAGCAATTAATGCTGCAAATAGCAGTGGGTTCATTTTCCCCATTTAAAACCGTTGCTACTGTTATCAGCGACCGTTGGAGCTAACGTTAGCCATTGTTTGTCAACACGGACTGAATGAAACGGGGCAGGTTGTCTGCAGACGTCTGCACGTCACAATATTCCAACTTTTTCTCTAATATTGCAGGTATCGTCCGCTGCTTTGATTTTTGTTCGGTTCTGCTTTAAAAGCCATTTTCTACTGTAAAACATGGCAACTGACTGCGCGGCTTGGGTGAACGCAAACCCAGTAGGTAGGTGACAAACATACACACACACACACACACACACACACACATACATACACACACACACACACAAAAAAACAACGGTTTAAATGCCTCATCAGCTGCATCCGGCGAGGGACTTTTTTCACAAGGAAATGGTTGTTTTGTTTCTTTTCCGCTGAAGCTGACATGAAAGCATTTTTTGGAGATGTGCTTTTTTTTTTTTACATCTTCTGCGACAAACTTGCTCACTACTTATTCAAGGTTTGACATATTCGGCTTTTTAATGCAACAGAGGCCGAGGACCTCAGTGATTCCTTCATTTCCGGAGAGGAAGACAACGGACGATTGATTGTCACGAATAAAAATATCAACAACGAAATCAATGGCAACTGGTTGTCCTCCTCGAGCAACAGTATCCACGAGGCACGGCTCAAGGCGAAAGCCAAGAGGAGGCTGAGAAAGAACTCCTCCAGGGACTCTGGAAGGGGGGACTCCCTCAGCGACAATGGGGATGTGGTCAGGGGGACCTCTGTTGCACCCACCAGTCCCAAGAACAAGCTTCTGGACAGAAAGTCCAGGCTGGGAAAGGGCAGAGGCCTGCCAAAGAAAGGTAAGAGCAAGGATGTTTGTTTGTCTGTATATACGTTTTTTTATTATTCTAAATTCCACCACACGGAACGGTTGTGTGAGATTTTGATTTCTGGTAGTGTACCGCAAGCAGGGATGTGCTAATGAAAGGAACAGGATGCAGATGTTTACATGCTTTTGCTTCAAAAGGGAGTAAACTCCCATCAATTTGGTTCCTGTTGCTGTCATCACATGTTGGCTTTCCAGGAGCCATAAACCTATTAGTCTGGAAAACAAATGGCTGGTTGATCTTGAGCCGCTCACACACTTTAAACGTGCCCCTCTCCCGTCTTGCCATCTGCTCAGCCAGGCTTTTCTGGAAATTTCCATGACTGGAAAAATACAAATCAAGGCAGCCTCATTTTAACTACTTGTAATTTTCCTCAGTCAGGATCCCAGCACTTATAATTGATTATTATTGATATTATTAGGCTACATTAGAAGCCATGAAATAATCTTAGTTTTGGGTTTTTTGAGTGCAAGTTTGTTTATTACAATACTCCCCCATTATCAGGAGGGTTTACCATTTAATTGATTTTTCTTTTTTTTTGTTAATTCACCTCTCAAAAGATGGTCTTTGATGCATATATTTCATTCAGTGCTGTCAATTGGGAACTCTGGAGATATAGTCTGTGCGTAATATTGATAACATTTTTGCTGTTTCAGAGCGCCTTTGCTCCTTTTTTTCCTGCTCCTTCAGCATGCTCAGTCAAGCTTTTCTAGAAATTTCCAAACCTGGAAAATGAAAAGATCTAGTCATTGTTGGCTTGTTTCAGTGATTACTGTGCGAATGCTTCATATTTGCATTTTAAGCCAACAGCTGAAACATGCAAAGAAGTAGGTTATTATTCTGATGTTTATTTAGTGATCTTTTTTTGCTTTATGTGCCCTTTTTTAAAGGGAAAGGATTCTGCACACAGTGTAGAGTGAGGGCTGTATTTTTATGCTGAAAGTCAACTGATAAGGCTAAAATGTTGTAAAATGGCTCCCTATGATCACTCTACCGAGATCGTTGGTCAGATTTGAGCATTTCAGAATCATCCGTCTCACGCTACACATCTTCCCTCAGTGATGTAACCAGCCAGTGTCTATTTATACACTATGTATTCCTTCAGACTGCAGTTCAGTTCGGGCACTTAACTCTTCCCATGGGCAGCAGAACTGGGACATGTCAAGTTTATCTTGGTACAAAGTCTGTGGTCTTTTCTGGTTGCATAACAAAACTACCAGACAAGTGAAGCCCTGCCTTATTTGCTCTGAGCTCTTTTGTATTAAGATGATATTTGTGGATTGGTGAATTTATTTATTTATTTTCTAGAGGCTTTCCTAGAAGATGCACAAAGCAAACGGCACAGATTCCCACTTCAAATGTTGGATCAGCTAAATATAGTGAAATATCTGCATGCAGGATCTGAATAATGGAGGTTTTTTAAGCGTGTTTACTTGCAGCATTGGTGTATTGGGCCCCTAAAACCATTGGCAATCTGTTATTTAATTTTTTTTTTTACAGGAGCCTTGAAGGCACTGACATTATTGTTATATAGTAGATATTAATGAATAGTGCGTAACCCCCAGCCTCTTATTGTTTGTTTTGAAAAATAATGCTATGCTTTTTGAAAAATGATGGTAATATGTCTTCCAAGTTGGCTTCCAGTTACTTCCTTTCCATGAGTTTATTTTTTAGCACAAAGACAGCTGCTGTTTTAGGTTACTTCTATATGTGGGACACTAAACTGACACCAGCTGTCAAACATTGTTTTGCCTCTTTGCAGGTGGGGCTGGGGGGAAAGGTGTATGGGGCCGATCTGGGGAGGTATATGAACCAGTAGAGGTGGACGAAAAGGACCCCAACTATGATGAAGATCAGGTAATGACTGTTTTTTTTTATTGTTTTCATAGCATGATTCATACCAACCTAGCTGTGTTTCAAAATCTCCAAGTCGCTAACATACTGTACAGTTTACTGTTGGCTTTTAACTTTATCATGCTTTTTCACAAAATAAAATTTTTGACCCCTGTGTTGTTTTGACAGGAAAACTGTGTGTACGAGACGGTGGTCCCTCCACTGGAAGAAAGGGACTTTGAGAAGACAGTCACCCCTATAGTACAGGAGTACTTTGAACATGGAGATACAAATGAAGTGGCTGTAAGTGCAGCAAAGTGCAAATCTGAACAACGTATCGGTGCGTTTCTGCTTTAAATCTATGAAATTAATGCCAATCTGACATCCTTTTTTCACTGCCAGGAGCTGCTTGCAGAGCTGAACCTTGGACCAATGCGTAGTGAGGTGCCGTCCCTGGCTGTGTCGCTGGCCCTGGAGGCCAAGGCCAGCCACCGGGAGCTCACCTCCCAGCTGCTAGCTGACCTGTACGGGACTGTCTTGTCCCACAGCGACATGGAAAAGTCATTCGATAAACTGCTTTGTGAGCTGCCTGATCTGGTTCTGGACACACCCGGAGCCCCTCAGGTAGGTCTCCTAGGATCTCCTTTTCTGGGTACCATTTCTGAAAATATGTTCTATTTTTCATTTTTAACAGCATCGTTGTTCCAGGACACTGGTTCAGTTACAATTCAAGTGTTTATCCTGAATGCTGCATTTTAATCCCTGTAAAGACTAATAGATGTAAGGTTTTTAAACAAGCAAAAAACAGAACAAAGTTGGCATTAAGTTAATGTATTCAAGTCGGCAAAACTATGCTAGGTCTCCATTACAGAGTTCCTCTCTCTTTCAAGTCTTTTTAGGGCATCTTTTTCTTTTGTCAGCGTCTGTGAAGGTGCGCAAACCCCGTAGTGGAGATAAATTCTGTCAGTGCTGTTAAATAACACAAACAACTCTTCAGACCCAGCAGTGTTTGGTTTCTGTTTGAGGAGCTTTAACTCTGCCTGTGGGTTGGCGGAGGGGAATAACGCTGCGGTTGGATGTGTTGGTTCATGAGAGAGGGCCAGTGTGGTGTGCGTGCATAGTTGAGCTCTTCCCTTTCAGCCGGCACAGACACGAGATCTTCAGCTATTGTCTGTCTATCCTCGTAAAATGCAAACTCAGCAAAGAACGCTCAGAGGGCTACTTTGCCCTCACCCCTCCTTACATCGCCTGATTGGGTCTCACTGGTCATTTGTGCCCCAGTCTCACAGCTCTCAGGGTGTGGAAAGAGCGAGAAGGATTCTGCCCCTCCCCCCACGCCCCTCTCTCTTCCCTTTCAGTCGGTATTTCTCACTTTCACACACACTAACTCCTTTTTTTTACCCGTATGCCTGCCAGTCTAGCCACAGCGACGGGCCTGATGAGATGCAGCAGCCTCTTGTCTATTCAGCAACAATGAGCATGGGCTTTGTGGAGGCCGCAGGGACAAAGCCAGCTCTTTCGTTCCCCTGAAACATGCCCTCGCACTACTGTAAACATAGACACACGTGCCCCGGAGGCCACTGTCAGTCATCTGTCCTGTCAGTGTTTTCCAGGGGCCTGCAAAGCAAAAGAATACAAACTGTTGCAGGGTAATGGGTCCCGGTTTTGTTGTATGTTGTTGTTGCCGATTAGCTGGAACTTTACAGTATCTCTAACTTGCATCAGTTTACTTAAGTCATGCTTCAGTGGACAGAGAGAAAGGGGAATGAAACTACTCGAGCTGTTATTAAACTGTTCTCTGCTCTTGTAATGTTTTTGTGCTCATTGACGTTTTAACTCTAAATCTTTCTCTTTCAGTTGGTGGGCCAGTTTATTGCACGCGCTGTTAGAGACCAAATACTGGCCAAGAGTTACATCGAGAGCTACAAAGGCAAAGTTGACTGTGAATGTGCAAGGTATGTCATCTTTGTGGTTGAATCGAAATCTGAAAACAAAAGCGCTTTAAATGCAATCTAGGAAACTACTAGGTGTGTACAAAAACATCTTTGTATCTTAGAAGAAAATGATCCACTGCTGCATTTGAGTCGCAATCTTCTGGGCTTCTCTGTTTTGAAATGGAAGAATAATTTTTAAGGAAAGAGAAACTCCAAATGAATACCTAGTAAATTGGCTCTAGCGCTCTATTTTCAATTAGCATTAAGTTTCACTTCTCTTGAAAATTTTGGCACCTCACTTTTAGTCAGTTCCTCCCACCGTGGGCAGGAAATTGGAGATCAAAACAGTTTTTAAGTGTAGATTAAATCCTGATGACAAAATGTTATATAAAGATGAAGGTAACCACCACATCCAAAGTGACATGATGCTGAGCATTGTCTCTAAATCATTTCTGGCCTCATTCTAAAGGCAAATACAATATCTGTCATACAGTATCGAGTCAACATTTTACCCTCTAATGATATGATGTGATTAAACTATATTTACTCATGCTCTGTGTGTCGGAGATCATTTTTAAAATAAGTCCCATTCGATTTTGGGTCTTAAAGATTAAATAGGTAATTTTTCTCCTATCCGGTTTTAGGTGTCCCTGTTCCATCCTGTTAGATTACAGTCAACTCTGACTAACTATTAAAGTATTCTAATTATGATGGCAGCCACTGTTCCCACTTCCATCATAGCACGAAAGCTGTGTTCAAAGTAATGAACAGCGAATAAACCGAGTCAAAACAAAGAAATATGATCTAAAACTACGATCTAATCTTGCTTATCTTTTCCTGCGCACCTCAGAGCTGCACTAGACCGGGCAGCAGTGCTGCTGAAGATGAGAAGTGGTGGGCTTCGCATCGACAACCAGTGGGGGACGGGAGGGGGCCAGAGACCAGTCACACAGCTCATCAGAGAGGTACATACGGGAAACAGAATTGAAACTAAATCGTGTACTTTCCTCATACTGTGTTTGGTAGCTGTTCTAAACAAGGTAGTAACATGATTATTATCATTACACTGATTAGTATTGGCATGTTCACCCCTGGTTGAGTAGATCCTTCTCTGTTAATCCAGATTCTTCCTCCTGTTCACAAATCTTCAGTATTCATTTAAATGATTGCTGGGTAATAATTTTTCTTATTGATTACCTGTCATGCCAGATGAACCTGCTGCTTAAGGAGTACATCCTGTCTGGAGACAGCAAGGAGGCGGAACGATGCCTCAGAGATCTGGAGGTTCCACATTTCCACCATGAGTTTGTCTATGAGGTAAAGCATGGATTCACAGAGGAATAAAAAATATCACGGCCACACCAGACTATGTGGGAACACCTGTTTAATACCTTAGGGGTGACATGTGAAGTCTTTGCTGTTCTGAGAGCAGTTTTTAATAGCATTTTTTTTTTTAGTCACACATTATGAAGGCAGTAAACATAAACCGTATGCTGTGATTATTTTTATCAGTGGACATTAATAGAAATGAGATACCAGTTGACACAGGCTGATAGGTATTAATTTCCATGCTGTGTGTACCAATGTGACACCGGTTTCCCTCAGGCCATCGTGGGGGTGCTGGAGTCCAAAGGGGAGAAAACCTTAAAAATGGTTCTGCAGCTACTGAAGTCTCTCTCTCTGTCCTCCATCATCACCGTGGACCAAATGAGAAGGGTAAGGTGCCACCTGCTGTTTAAAGCCAGCACTGCACCTAAAGTCACCACACTAGTTAGCTCGGCTTTAATATTGAGCCGTCTCTCCTTTACAGGGCTATGAGAGAGTTTACATGGACATTGCTGAGATAAGCATTGATGTCCCTCGTGCATACTTAATTTTGGAGCAATTTGTAAACAAGAGCTTCGATATGGGAATCATTGGTGTAAAGTTAAGAGATGTATGTCCTTGTTGGTAAGTGCTTTAATTTTTTTTAAACACACCATATGTTTCTGTCTATAGGTGTGTATCTGTCTCTGTTAATCACATTGTTTGTGATGTTTCTCAGGAACCAGAAGAAGATCATGGGCGATGGAGCCGGTGATTTTGTCGAACTTGAACGATGCTAAGACCTTTTGTGTGTCAGAATGCCTGAAAAGAAGAGGACGAAACCAATGTGCATTTTCCAGAATAGTCGAGTAAAGTTTTCCTCCCTTCTAACAGCACAATTCTGAAATTGAGGTGGGGTTGATGGAAACTGCACTTTCTCTGAAACTGAAGTAGATCCCTCTCTATACGATGTTTCTACGCAGCGATTTACATAAGCTATCCCTTAAAGTGCCACACCTCTCAGTGACGGTCATTCCATGTTGTTTTGTACAGTATTTTATTTTTTGGTTTTACTGCCACTCCTATTGTGTTTTCCAAATAAAACGTGTTTGTACTGAAACAACCAATTAGTGTCAAAAGCTTTATGAAAGTGTGGAAATAAAGGGAGAATGTTTGTTAAATGCAATGCTGGCTCTTTTAACTGGCTGCAGTTTTGACTTTTTCCTTTTACCTGCTAAATCGAAACAAAGATGTCATTTGGAGGGTGTACTGAAATGTGAAGAGTAGGAAGAAAAAAGCAGTCACATGACTTGCTGAAATGATGTAAAGAGTGTTTATTTTTGTATATGGGGAGCACAAAACACCAGTGTTGCTCAATGTTTGTTCATTAAAGCGCTATTACATAAGACTGTTTTTGGAGTATCAATACTACAACACAGAACACATTAGAGAATTTTTAGTAGAGCCTGTTACCAAAAACGTAATAATGCACCACATTACTGATTTAATGACAATGATCCAAATAAGAGGCAAGTGATCATACTAAACAACATGACATATCTAGAAAACAAATAGAGCTAAAGCTCACTTCCTCTACTTCCTTAGCTTCTCTTTTCACAAAGCCAGATATCTGAAACTTTGAGTCTATAAAACAAAAGACGTATTCTGTGTTTGAAACATGGCATCAAAAGTAACCTTTTTCTATCAGTCCATTTGCATCTACTGCATTTGCTCCTTCGCTTTCAGTTCCTGCTGTCTGACGGCCTCTTGAGCCTCCATCTGCATTTTCTCCAGCTTTTCAAGGGTGACTGATTTGAGTGGGAGCAACTTTGGCTTGCATAAAACCATGGTGGGGACATCTTCCATGGAAAGCTGTCCTGTTATTGTTGCCAACACAAACAAACATACAAATACATTCTTAGAAATCTGCAACAAGCCATACCTAAGACTCAACTGGTGGAAAATTCCACAGGTTTACGGCACGTTGGCACAGAAAATGCTGTACAAATATACTCATTCTAGATATTCTATGGCAAGAAATTGTACTGTTGAATCTCATCACTGATTTTTTCTGGAAACCTTCACCGAGGATTCTATATAACTTTCACTGGTGGTCAGTCAGTATCCTTTTATACTTGTAGTAGTCTGTTGCTGAACTTTATTAACACAACTACGTTTCTTAATAATCATTATTACCAAGCACCTATAGGATCCACCTTATGAGATTAACTGAACTGCAACGGAGTCAATGCTTTAAAGCTGTGAAACAGGCTGAGAAGAAGCACGGAGAATCATTTGGCTAATTGTGCAACCTTAAGCGAATTTATCAACAGTTCACATGTTGTATTGAGCTCTACAAACAACCTTTTGTAACTGCTTTCCATACAACAAACTGCTGCCATACTAACCTTGTTTAGGGAGAACTTCTCTGAATATCGACTTCACCTCTGGCATTGTGTCTTCTGGGTGCTCGCTGAAAGGTAAGGAGTTTACAATAAAAGTTGAAAAAATTATATAAGGCTCAGTGGGCTTAGGTCTACTCTTCAATATCTATTGCTTGGAGGCATTTTCCTCTTGACAATGAAGACTGATCTGAGCTGCATCTATTCGGTTATAGACTATTAGATACAAATAACAAAAGCTGATACATATATATGTAGTATTAGGCAACGTATACAAATAACCAACGAGAGGGAAAAAATAGAACTGATCAGTAGCTGTCATGACGTGTTTTGTGAATGTATTTACAAATATCTTCAACGTTCGTCAATAAATGCTATGGAAAATATCACATTATATGTACTAATGAGAACTAAAAATGAGAACACAAGATATCTTTGTAGGCTTAGCAGTACAGGTGTCATCCTTCCAAATAAGTATAACCAATGTAGTTTGGCAACTAATTTGTCATGCTAGCAAACCTTAGCAGAAACTATGTTAGCACATTAGATAGCTAGCCTCAGCACGGCAAAATATGCGGTTCGTTTCCCTTAAATACGTCAACTACTGAATGAATTAATCTTCCTCTCTCAGTAAAAGATTGTTTATTTCCGTTTTCGTATAACAAAACGGTTAAGTTATCTTAGCAAGGGTAAAAATCGGACCTTTTTTCAATCGCACCTTAGACACCAGGCAGAGATTACGGCGGCTGTCAGGCCAACGCGTCCAGTAAAACCACGTGACTTTCTTCTGCGTTTATTTCACTGGGCGAGGCTTTACTGACACCTAGAGGCGGCTTTGGTAACATTACTACACACATATGTGTATTATGTAATGCACTGTTGTAACTGTTTATTTGTACGCATGTATAAACCGATATTTACTTGATAAATTGACAGATTTATGTTGATTCTATTTTAAACTATGTATTTCTCTGAAATATGTGTGTTTTCAGGTAAGCAGTATGGACAATGAATTGATGAGTGAATGTGATTTTCATAATAGGTATTTCAAATGTTGGCTCTTTATGTACTTTAAGATCGAATACTTTGTTCTTTGTCCACACCCACTGATACCTTGTATTTAACATTATGATATGAATACTTCTTCCATATCTGCCAATGGTACTCACATTTTCATTGATATAACTGATGTTTATTAGTTTAGCCTTTTGTTTCCTTCACTGTTTCTTTAGTTACTTTCTGAATATCTTTCTGTTGCTGCATAAGATAGTTTCTCTGTGTTCAATTTCTATCTTAATCATAAGCATCATAATTCTGCTATGAACCTGTGAAATCACCACTTTGTACAGTAAGCCAGTTGCAGTTTGGCAAAACCTTTCAAACCCCAATTTTATGCTCACTGGACTGTAATGATCTAATACTACATTATATGGAAACTTGAAAGATGTCGTACATATTTGCTGAGGCTTGACTTTGAAGCAAAAAAGGGAAACACCTAATTGTCACACTTCATAATAAAAAAAAAAAACTTCACCTTAGGAAATGTTTCTTAAATGTCAAAACTCAGAAAATGTATGGTGAATGAATTTCTTCCAAGTTTAACAGCTGATTATTGATTCTCATAATTAAGAGCTAACAGTTTAGTTGTTTCAACACAGGAACACCACAGTAGGGTCAACGAGAAAAAAATATCAGTACTCTTTTCTTCACTGCATTTTTTCAAAGAATATTTTTGATGCAGAGTCATTCCACCTCCGCATGGAGGATACCAGTTTGGCTCAAATATCTGAAGACATGTTCTGCTATGCCTCAGTGACATTTTTTAAAGCTGCTTTTTTTCAGTGTCAGGAGAGTTTCTGTTGCTCAACATTTCGTCTTTAAACACACCAGAGATCTTCTGCTGGATGCATTTCAGACACCATATTTGGTCAGGTCGAACTGTCAAAGCTTTCACCCTTTTCCTACTTTAGTTTTTTCTTTTTTGTGCATTTTCTTTCTGCAAACTCAATAGGACGGTGCTGGCATTTGGAGCTGGTATTTTTTCAAATTTATTTATACTATTTGTACTTTTGCATTGCCACTAAACATTCAACGCGAAAGCCCATATGAAGTTTGTAACAAACATGTTCAAGGCCCTCTGTAAAAAAAAAAACCAAACTCATTTGACCTAAAAATGTGCTTTGGTTCTTCTTTTTTCAGGTTCTTCAGCAAAATGTAATCTTGAAGTTTAGTTGCAAAGCAAGTGGGGCTTTTATCTTGAACACCATAAATAGTGGTTAGTGCTGCAATATGCTTTGAGAGCTGATTGTTACTGATAAGTCTGAACCATTTGCAGGGTTGTCAGTGCAAGATTGTGCAACTAGTGCACTGCCTGTGACACAATTCTTTTGTAGGACAGCTCTCATTCGCTGGCTGTTGGTGGCTTCTTGTCAAAACAGTGCTGCATGAGAGTTTTAGTGGCTTTCTGATCTTACTGTGTTATTTTCCTTATGTGAACATGATCATTTTAAATTGCAGGTGTGGTCCATTTTTGTTCAGACATCCATTTTCAGCCTGTTATCAGCCTGTGTGACAGTAACACCAGATGATACAGCCTTTCTTGCACTGAGTGCAGTATCATAATGAAAATATAAAGGCCCTGAAATCCATCCATCCCGTTTCTATGGTTATACATATGTAATAAATACACAAACAATGTACATGTAGAAATAACAGTATAACTTTGTTCATGAAGAATTTGGTCAAAGTTGAGTGTGAAATGAGCATTTTCAAAAGCAGTTTAAAAGAGAACTTGGTTGTGGTGCCTGGTTTACACCCAGATCAGTCTAAATTACTCACTGAAACCTGCCAGGGGATTTCAGACCACACCCGGTATATTATGAGGTCAAATGTTCAGTGATATATGCAGGGACCAAACCAATTGGTTTTGAAAAAGAAAGATTACAACCTTAAATTCAGTTCTACAAGTTACAGGTAACTAGCAATGTAAAGCTAAAAACGAGGTTATGTATTCTCCCCTGTTGTGCACGGAAACCGTGAGTGTGAAAGGTAATATTTCCTCAAGAATGTACAATGAATCACAGTAGTGGTAAGCAACGTTTAAAAATACAAAAAAGAATAATTTGTCCACCTGTCAAGGTACATGATATGATTTAGGGGTGTAAAAAATCTTTGAGTTTGTTGGATCTCACTCATATTTTCTCTTCTGTTCTAATCTGAATTTTAACTGCAGGTAGTGGATTTTAGTGAATGTTATGTTTTGTCATGAAATGACTTCAAAACATATTTTCTAAATTGTTCTTATGGTAAAAAAAAAAAAAAAGACAACTTTCCTTTGGCGTTAGCTATTCCTCTGTCACATATGTAAATGTGTGTAAATTGATGAATATTTGATTGCAATTGAAATCTCGTGATAACATTGGTTCGGCGTGCGAATGACGCAGTTCGGTTGCCGGAGAGGGAGGGGAGCGGAGCAGCAGTGTAGGAAGAGAGGAGGAAGGAGCGAGGATGGCGGAGTCACACCTCTGAAGGTAAATCACTTATTTTACCACATTAACAGTCAAGCTTTTTCGCCCCGAGGCACTCTCGTGTGACACCCAACAGATAATCAAACCGCCTGCCGCTTGTAATGGCGTGTTTAAGGCTTTCGGGTCATTTTTAAGGGGGACCGATGCGAACGCACTCTTTTGTTCAGCTACGGAATGGCCGCTGTTTTTCGGAGTGTTTTCTCTTTTTTCCTCCAATAATTTTCAGCACGTAAGCGGCGTTCGAGTACCGTGTTGTGGCTCGTCTGTGCGGCGGGGGGTTTATGTGGCCTCTCGGCCTTTTGATATCCGCTGCCTCCGCCCGGCTGCTCTCTCGCTGGGTGTCCGCTACCTGCTCCCAGCTGGCTGCTGCAGAGATTTCCCCTCTCGGGCGAACTCACGGCGGACGGGTCGGTATGCGTCCCACCACCGCTCCGTTCGGGCCTAAACGCAGCTTGGCTCGAGGTCTCGCTAACCGCTGGATGTGAGCATCTGGCGAGCGAGGAGAAACGTCGACACCGTCCGCGGCGCTTAACGACCGTGTAACGCCTCAAAATGTCAGATTGAACGCGATGTTACTCTTCCTCGTTTGAGGAAAAAACGGCCGTTAACATACCGTTAGCGGGTGGGCTAAATTGGTTGCTAGCTGACGTTAGCAAGTTAGCCGTCTGGCATAACTGACGTTTGCTTTGCTGTTGACGTTTAGCTTAGCTGCTATTTCCTGCCTTGTTGTTTCTCGTATTAACAGGCTTGGCAGCTGTTCTTTTTGTATATATTGACAACAGGAGTCCATTTCAATTAAAATAAATGCCCTTTCTTCATTCCGTAGCTGTTTTTGGCTTGCATTTCTTCCTCATTTGTTACGCAGGTATGTTAACTCGACTAGTTGATGCTGGGTTAAAAGTCACAGCGACGCATTATTACCGTTCACGCCTAAACATTACTGCAACACTAATGATCACGCACTCCTGCTAACCCACTCCCCCCCCCGTCCCCCCACCCTCCCCTTCTTTCCATATTATGTAATTTAATTAATCTCTGAAGGCGCCGTGACTTCTCAATCTGGTGGCCGCCGACTTTGTCGGTAATCTGTTTCCAAGAATTTGTCATCTGCACACGTAGCCACCGAGCTAGCTAGGTCATGTGGAGCCCTGTGTAGTATCAGTAGCAGTGGCTGCCACCTCTCCTCATTTTTTCTTTTTTTGTTGCAGTTGTGTCACCAATATCACGTTCGCAGTCACCAGAACTGACAGGCCTAATTATGCCCGCCATCAACTTGACTAGTAACACACTGACACGGATCAACAGGTCTGCTCAATCCCTCTGAGTCAAGTAATTCCTCGGGAGTCGTGTGTTTTTTTTGCCACATCCGAAGTCCCTTTGCTCTTCATATCTGCTTTATTTATCCTCTGATTTGCTAATGTGGATGGGCATCCTAAAGCATAAGCAAGTGAGTAGGACAGAGTCTTAGTCAGAGCTAAATGCATTGACTTTAGCAAAGGGAGGGAACTGTATCCTTAATGGAATTGTGATTAGTGTGTTTGTATGAAGCCCAGAAAGCCCTTTATGGCATTGCTGTGGTACTGTTTATGGACATGCATTAGCTTTTCTTTTTTCTGCAAATGTGTTTTTGAGTTGATATTTCTATCAACAAACTGAGTGGCGATGAACAAAACAATGTTTGCCAATTTTGCCACCACTGACATGATTGATGATTATTGGGCATAATTTAACATCCTGAGCCAAAGAGCAACACAATTCCATCTTTTAAAATGATCCTGTTGTCCCAACATGCACATACATCCACCTAATGGTAAAGTAGAAGGTTATTAACAACAATAAGTACATTTATACAAAACTATTTGATAAATTGTTCCTTTCTGAGTACAGTTAAGCTTATTGTTTGTAAGTGATTCTATATTTACACAGTTGGAATCACAACTAATAGGTTATATGAACTTATTATCCTTTTTCATTTGCTTTTTGCCAGGGTATGCAGATATATACGTTACAGATTTTTGAAGGAAACGCTGAATGCATGCATAGGTGGGGCTGAAGGTCTGCAGTAATGTCAACACCCTTTGGAACATGTTTGTTTTGTAGCAGTTTGCTGGATGTCAGGTTATGCTGAGTACATTAAACAGATTTTCTTGGACTGAAGGGGAAAAACTCGCTTAAACAAGTTTGATGGGTTTATAGTCTTTGTGGCGTAACCTGTGTGACACATTCACCCTACAAAAGGCCCTTTTTATTCTTAGCTTCAGGACCAAATACACATGTGCCACTTATTTACTATATTCTAACATTGGATAAATAGTATCTGAGAAGAGGTTTGAGTGTGGGTTTGTGGCAGATCTTTTTTTTAATAACATTTTTTACTCTCCTTTTTTTTTTTAACCAAAAGCCATTTGTCAGATATATTTGAAATAGTAGTGATCATGCTACCTCACTTCCTTATCCTTTTTTTTTTTTGTTGATATGATGAACCTCTAATTCTAATATTTTCCAACAAAGCCATTTTGAATAGAATTTATTCTACTCCTTTTGATCCAACAACTATTTTGGTTGTTTAAATACTGATTGTTTATTTGAAAGACAGAAACAAGAGTAGACTTTTTTTGTTACTCCTCATTTTCCTGACTTTTTATATTAAGATCATCACAAAGATTATTTATCCTTGATCTTTTCTTTGAATTTAGAAAGGAAGAATTGGTCTTTGAATGTTGAGAAGAGTCTGTAGAGATAATGTTGACATGCAGTTTGTAACAGCAACTGTTATGTAGCAGGACAGGGACAAAGAGCACAACCTTAAAAGGAAGTGGCTTGCACAGTTAAGTTTACACGGACCCAACAATTGAGCTGGTCTGGTTATTCTTATTTAATGTTCTTTATTATTCAGTGCACATGTGGCAGTTACAGTTCGTGGTAGACGTCCGTCTCCTTATTCACGATTCAGAGCAGAAAATAAGTCGTTATTTACAGGACACAATATGAGGCATGCTGTCATGTCAAATGCTGCAATTGACTGAACATTTCTTTTACTCTAAAGGTCATATGACCTGTTGTGGTTGGGACTTCATGCTTTGAAGGCCACTTCTAAAGATTACTCTCAGCAGTCATAACCTTTTCTTTTAGCTTAGATCCTGAGCCAGAGCTGTTTTGCTTTTTGCCACAGCTTAGCTTGTACCAGTGCCGGAGAGCGTTCCCAGCAGTACCGTAGACCAAACAGAGGGAGGCTACCCGAGTCATTTCAAGATCCAAACACTGTGCGTTTGGTCTTTGTGTCTTTTTTTTTTAGAGAACTGGTAAAATTGAACGTTTTGTGCCCAAACCGTCTGAACTGTGTATGTGTGTGGGACGTTATTTGGTGTCGGGTTCAGTATTTTACATTAGTCAGAATTTTCTAAACAAACTCACTGCCATAGATCTCATGTTGCAAATGGAAAATAATCTGGACCTATATGAATGTTATTTACTCTGTTTTGTTGTTTACCCTTGTTTGTAAATGAAATCAATTCTAATGGTATGGGTGGAAATTTTCTAAAATAGTTTTAGCACAGCTTACTCTGAAAAGCCGGCCCACTTAAGAACCAGCTTCAGTTAGTTGGTTTTACCAAAGTGTATTTCTGAAATTAAGTGACTTTAGTGCGTAAAGTATCTTGTAAGAGAAATGGAATTGTGGATTTGGTGAGACAGAGCGGCTTACTTTTTACCCAACATGAACACAGTTTTTTGTTGAACAGCTGATCATTGCAGATGTCACTGAAAAAGCCACACAATAAAAACGAGAAAGCCAATTGTAAGCCGCTAGTCCGTATTCGAAACCGCCCTTTGCTTGTTGATTTCCTTTTATGACAGTGTGCGCTGTGCAGCTTGTAATTTTAATGGAAGCATATTTTGTTGCGCTGGGTAGACTGGATAAAAATACTTGTTCAGTATGCTCTACAGAACAGGCTCATTTCTCTATGTAAAAGCACACACACAACAGTAAATCCTTAGAAATACCTTTTTGAAATTGTTGCTAAAATGTGACAGATACTGAGCCCAGTAAATATTTTTAGACAGAGCTTTTCAGCTGATGAAACCCAGAATTATAATCTCTTTTTGAGTGTTGAAAATTAAAGTTACATTGTCTTTTTTCCCCTCCCAACAGCACATTTCAGAGGAATTTAGGCAAAGAAGAAAAACTTTGGATGCTAAGGCCTGAAGGAACCTCTACCTAAAGGTCCTAGGATTGTATCCAGTTCAAGCATGTGGCCCCTGGATGCCACAAATCACCTGCTTCAAAGGATTACTTCTCTTATGGCATTTTAGCTAAGAAACACGATATCTCTTATATCCAAAAACTTTTGGATCACACGGCCTTTATTGCTGGTTTAAGCATAAATGTTTTGGCCTGCATGGGGATGTTTTCTTTAGAAGCTTTCAGAGTCCCTTTGTTTTTAAATAAGTAACCGGGCAAGTGAGTCTCATGAGCAGCTCTGCTGGAGGGCAGGTAACATCATCATGAGTAGTACTTTAGGCAAAGAAAAAGATTCAAAAGAGAAAGACCCCAAAGGTGGTCCAGCGGGTAAAGAAAGGGAAAAGGAGGCCAAGGCTCTGGCCAGCTTAGTCAAAGATGGTGGCAAAGAAGCAAAGACCAAAGGGAAAGAGGCCAAAGAAGGAAAAAAGGACACGAGCAGCTCGACGCCCGGTGTTGCCTTCTCTGTTGACAATACGATAAAGCGGCCAAACCCCACGCAGGGTCAGCGAAAGAAGTCCAGCAACGCTGAGGTCATCAAGGAACTTAACAAGTGTCGGGAGGAGAACTCTATGAGACTGGACCTATCCAAACGGTCCATCCATGTGCTGCCCCCCTCCATCAAGGAGCTGACTCAGTTGGCAGAACTCTACCTGTACAGCAACAAGCTACAGAGCCTACCGGCCGAGGTGGGCTGCCTATCGGGGCTGGTCACTTTGGCCCTCAGCGAGAACTCCCTGACCAGCCTGCCCGACTCGCTGGACTCCCTGAAGAAGCTTCGAATGCTCGACCTGCGGCACAACAAGCTCAGGGAGATCCCGGCCGTGGTCTACCGGCTGACGTCTCTGGCCACGCTGTACCTGCGCTTCAATCGAATCACAACGGTGGAGAAGGACATCCGGAACCTGTCCAAGCTCACCATGCTCAGCATCCGCGAGAACAAGATTAAACAGCTACCCGCAGAGATAGGTGAGCATAGCCTAATGGTTAATGCGTCCGAGCATACAAAATGGTCATTGTCATAAAATCCAATTGTTCACAGTGTATTTTACTCAAATGATTCAAAATCTCATATTGGTGACCTAAGAGCTAACATGAGTAGATGCGTCCAGCACCAACAACTCCACGTATTTCGGTCAGAATCAGCGATGACAATATCAGTAGCTAAGGGTCATGGTTGTACCAGCATCTTAATATTAAATGTTGTGTGTACTTGTTGTTGGGCATTTTGCAGGTGAACTGTGCAGCCTCATTACGCTGGATGTGGCTCATAATCAACTGGAACATCTACCAAAAGAGATTGGAAATTGCACACAGATAACCAACCTCGATTTGCAGCACAATGAGCTTTTGGACCTTCCAGAGACTATAGGTAAGGGTTAGCCATGTTATTTTCTGTGTGTGCTTTAATTAATGCTTGCTATTTGCTTCTGTTACACTCCTTTTGTTAAACCTAGATTGGAAAAACCTCAAAGTGAGAAAAATGTTTTTTTCCTTTCCTTTTTCCCCTTTTTATAGGCAATTTGGCGAGCATAAATCGCTTGGGTCTGCGTTATAATAGATTGTCGGCCATCCCCAGATCATTAGCCAAATGTCGAGAACTGGAGGAACTAAATCTTGAAAACAACAACATTTCAGTGTTACCAGAGGTAAGAAGAGCACAAATCCCCCTCCCACACCAAAATATTATGCTTTCATATCCCTTTTTTTTCCTTTTAAGTGTATTATATTCACACTGAAAAACTCTGGTGGCTCTTGTCCCATTATGAATCTACAATTTATGAGCATCTCAGCAACAGACTGGTACATCTCTGTTTGCAGAGATTGCTCTTCTTAGGAGCTACTTTATTTTTCAACATGTTTTTTTTAACAAGGAGTTGGAATATGAACTGCTGAGCTGTTCTGTGCGTCTCAGTCAAACAGTTTGAACAAGGCTTCAATTTGATTAACTCTAATTGAGTTGCGTATTGTTTCAATTATGTCTCTCTTTTTTTTCCTTTTTTATTTTTTCTTGATCAGGGTCTGTTGTCAAGTTTGGTCAATCTGACAAGTCTCACACTGGCAAGGAACTGCTTCCAGTCCTACCCCGTGGGTGGGCCGTCCCAGTTCTCCACCATTTACTCCCTCAACATGGAGCACAACCGTATAAAAAAGATCCCATTCGGTATCTTCTCCAGGGCCAAGGTGTTAAGCAAACTTAACATGAAGGTAAACGCATCTTTTGGAAAATGCTGATGCTACAGTAGTACAGGAGAAATATTGAATCAGTTGTACGGCTGATGTGTTTGTCTTGTGTTGTGAAACCCAGGCGTTTTAGAGGCCTCGTGTGTTCAGTTTGGAGGCTGAAACTGAAAGAGCTCGATCGAGGCCTGACACAATGTAATCCGTTCCCCGTTGCGGTAAAAGGCCTTAAATATAATTAAACTGAGCTTCAACTTCATCTCACACCCACGATGTGCCTTGTGAGAGACCAAATGATTTACGCACGTATAAAATGAAGAAGTTTATGAAAAATTTTTCATTAGATTGTTTTGTTTAAGATAGATTTTCTTGGAGTCATATAGAAAATCAGCTGTTTCAGACAGAAAAAAAACAAAGTGCCATATTTTTTGAACAGGTGCTTTAGTTCATGTGTATGCAGGCATGAACTTGCATTTGTTTCTGATATGTTTATGTTGTTGTAAACACACAAAGTGGAATAACTGAGCAGAACACCAGCTCGTTCTGCTGGGCCTCTACAGCCTCGCTGTGCGTGTGCAAACCCACTTAGCAGCCGGTGGTTATGCTGATGAGGCCTTTCATTGTTTTCCTCAGGATAACCAGTTAACGTCTCTGCCGTTGGATTTTGGCACATGGACAAGCATGGTGGAACTCAACCTGGCCACCAATCAGCTGACAAAGATCCCAGAAGATGTCTGTGGTCTTATCTCGCTCGAGGTGAGTTTTGTGTGCACAGTTGTTGGATTTTGAGTAGTTTTGAGTATTGAAGACGGTGGTTTAGGTAACACATAGATTTCACTATCATTGTCTACGCTGGAAGGTCATTGAGTATGTTTTTTTTTTGTTTTTTTTAAAGTATTATTTCTGTTTTCATTCTAAACAGAATATGCGTCTATGCATGGATAACCTGTTTCCATCTGTTTGAGATTGCTTAAAAAGTTGTATTTCAAAAAACCCACCAGCTGTCAGTAATTTTAACAAACTTTGTGTCCTCAGGTGTTAATATTATCTAATAATCTCCTCAAGACGTTACCGTATGGTATTGGGAACCTGAGAAAGTTACGAGAGCTCGACTTGGAAGAAAACGAGTTGGAAATTCTGCCAAATGAAATCGCTTATCTGAAAGATTTGCAGGTAATTTTTCTGAACTTCCAGTTATGCAACGCTTCATTTATTTCATGTATCGTCACCAGACCCAATTTAAAAGAAAAAAAGACGGCATAAACCTTCATTATATATGAATATTGTTAGCTTTTTAGGAACAGATTAATGGACATGCTGTCCATCCGTTAGATAATCATCACAGTTGGTCCCCACAGTTGGAGGAATGGACGGTGCTCTGGCATGCACTCGTTTCCGTTCCATTGGATTGTGGTTGTTTTTAATAAAGAGTTTCACGAAAACGGTAAATAACCCAAAAAGTGTAAAGTACAAATAGGTATTTAATGTAATCACAGTTTGCATTATTTTTCAACGTTTGTTCTTGGTGCTTGGATCAGAGCTCTGTAAGGCTCATACAACCTGTTGTAGGCCCCTGTGTTCTTCTGGTCACTGAAGATGGTCATCCTTCGTCTGCCCGTATGTGGGGACTGGTTCCCATGCAACAGAATGTGTACCTACTGCTGGCAGTAGGTCCCCACCCACATGATGAGGGAGATTTCTTGAGGTGTTTTTGTCAGGTAGCACCAGAAGAGAGTTAAATGGTACATGTTCATGTTGTTCATGTTCATACATTTGGCAGACGCTTTTATCCAAAGCGACTTACAGGGTAGGGAGGAGCTGTATTGGCCGGGAATCGAACCCAGGTCAACTGCTTGGAAGGCAGCTATGCTAACCACTACACCACCACTCCATGGCGGCATTGAAACGTCATTCATTCCACAACCCCCCGAATTCAAGCTTTTTTAGATTACCCTAACATGGATGACGGAGGATCTATTCCAGCGTATTCTTCCCGTTCGGACGCCTGGTTTTTGGAAGTTGCTTTGTTAATTAAGAATTTCCGTTTACCATCGTACGACGACTGGTTTGTGTAATGATTTTACTGCCACCTGCATTCTGTTGTTGCAGAGAGAAATGTCAGTGAAGTGGTTTGTTCATCTGTCTGTTGTTCAGGAAGTTGCGAGACTAAACTACACTAGCTGTTTTTTTCCCCCTTTCTCGCCGCTGTATTTTTAACGGCGACACAGTTTATGTCGGTCACGTCGGACCAGCCAAACCAACCAGCCGAGCTTATCATGTCACAAGACGGCAGCATAGAATAAGCTACAGCTTACTTGCCTTAAACTCCAGACCAGATGGTTGGGACTGAATAAGCCTTTCCGATGAGAGCTGAAATATCTTCATGGACCAAGAAAAGACATTGTCTTTATCCTAGCTCTTGGGATTACCATGACTTGGAAATGCTGAAAATCTCCACTTATCTACAAGTTGCCTTCTGCTGTCAGCTGTCCCACCAGAGACAACGGGGGCGTGTATTTAACACAGATTTAAAGCATGAATTCAGCTTTTCGAGCTATACATCCGACATTCAGCTCCATCCCGTGATCCCAAAGTCTGAGATGGTTTCAGGAAGCCGAACAAACTCTGTAGAGAGGCCAGGAAATAGACACTTTGAATGAGTGGTTAGCGGCGAAAAAGTGCATTTAAGGTGAGGTCATAGTGTTGGAAACCAGAGCAGAGCAAATGAACAACACTAGGTTTTGAGTAGATCACAGCAATATTCCGCATTACCCTCTCCTCCCTCCAGTTGTTCAGACCTCACACCATTCCCATAGCTAACTCTTGAAAAGGGGCTTACGATCAGAAGCAAACTGGTAACAATCCAGTCATTTGGCTTCACAACAATTTTTGATATTCAACAGCAGATTATTTTAATCTATAATTGCACCACAGGGCTGGTAAATATAATTAACTTTTAACAGACGAACTTAAACATGTCTAAATTATGTTGTTGTTTTTGTGACTTTCCCCCCCCCACTCTGTTAGAAATTGGTGTTGACAAATAACCAGCTGACCACGTTACCCAGAGGCATCGGCCACCTCACCAACCTGACCCATCTGGGTTTGGGAGAGAACCTGCTGCAACACCTTCCTGAGGAGATCGGTGAGTACTTTTCAAATCGTCTTTGTTTCTTAGCGGGTATTTTTTTCTTCTCGTTCAGCCCTCTGTGCTGCACACACATTTCTTCAACCATCTTGTTCCATTAACATGAGCACATACAAATCTCCCAGTTTTTCATCTCATTTAGAAATTACATCATTATTGAATGACATTAAGGTCTGAACATGATCAGAATCTTTTTCTTTTGTTTAAATTGCTTGGAGCTGCCCCTGGTCTACAGCTTTAGACACATTTTCTGAACCCAGACTTCCATTTTTTTCCCTGTAGTTTTCGTATACATGACACAATTCGGCAGCTTCATTTGTTTCTGACTTTGTCCTTAAAAAGAGGGCGTGTTTACATAACTAGAAATCTCGTCCAACAAAACTGCTTTTCAGGTGATGCTTTTATCATAAAAGCTCAGTTTAACTGTAAGGATTAAAGAGATTAACAGTCCATAATGTGATCCACCTCTGGCTCTGCCTCAGTGATTGGTTGAGTTTGAATAGGTTGGTTAATGCTAAGGTTAAGAGTTAAGCCAGAGATTAAAACTGGTGGAGGAGGAAGCAGAAGGCGAGTCTATTTTTAGTTAGTTCAAATTGGACAAAGACTCAAGTTACACTCAGGTTTCCTCTAAAAACAACTGTAGGTCTTAATGCATTAGTAAGAGACCAAAACACTTATGGGCATAAAATACTTTCTAACTTGTCAAGATGTTAGATTCATACCTCATCATCCGGCAGCCTTTTTTGCCCTCAGAAGCCATTTAAACCCCGTGTTGCTTTTTATAAAAAAATATATTTCAAGGAAAAATGTCCCAAGTTTGATCTCCATCAATGTGACGAGACGTTATGCATCAAACGAAACTTTAGGAAGTTTTGATATTCGGACTGAGCAAACCGTCTGACGTCTGTCCTCAGGCACACTGGAGAACCTGGAGGAACTGTACCTCAACGACAACCCGAACTTGCACAGCCTCCCGTTCGAGCTGGCCCTCTGCAGCAAGCTGTCCATCATGAGCATCGAGAACTGTCCCCTCACCCACCTGCCGCCGCAGATCGTCGCGGGGGGGCCCTCCTTCATCATCCAGTTCCTCAAGATGCAGGGACCGTACCGTGCCATTGTGTGAGCTAAGAGCAGCGCTGTTTCCAGTCCTGCCAAACCCCCCAAGCCCTCCGTTCACTCTGCCCCCCTCCGCCTGCCTGCCCCCATTATGTGTATCACACACTGTAAAGAAAACGGACTCGCCACAGCCAGTGTCAGGGGCAAGTACAAAGGGGAGGTGTGCGAGGAGGACGTTCTCCTTCTACAGCCTGTGCAGAAAAGTGGCAAATCTTTGGAGACTTTTGTGTTGCTATAGGGTTCGTCCTGGTCATTTCAGGGCCCCGGCGCCCTGACCCCAACCCAATCTTTCATTCCTAGTCATACAAGAGGAATAATATGTTTCCGCCTGTTTGCCAAAACTGAGAACATACATATATATATATATATGTGTGTGTGTGTATGTATATGTATATATATATACACACGCACACACACACACACACACACACACACACACACACACACACACA